TTATAGTGTAAAAAACACAGATAAATCAGTATCGGAAAAAAAAAAAAAAATTCACAGCAGAAAGGTGTGATAACAAAAATTGTTAAAATGAAAAAGTTTAGGGGGATGAATAAACCAATCGCATTTTTATCATGTTTATTTTTACCCTAGTTTTGCCTCGCCTTCGCATAGTTCACTTGTGTGCCCCCGCGAATGTGTCACTAACAAAGCTGTTCTCGCCATCAGCTGTCCCTTAAGCGCTATTGCAACTCGCCCCTTTCTGGGTATTTATTTTGGGACGCGTAATGGACCGCCAGTTTGCTCTGAAGCATATCTCTAATGCGATGGGCAAAGTGGGGAAATGCAAAGCATTGGTTTTAACACAACCTAAAAGGGAGAGCTACGTTTCCTCTACTCGTTTTTCCCGTGTGTACTACTGAATCGTGCTATGTGGTTGTTTTAATTGTGAAATGGAATTGCATTAAATTTCATTCACGTGTTCGTTTGGTCCATTTGGAAGGAACTACAAGTATTTGTACTTGCCAGCTGTTTGCCGCCTTTTAGTGAAAAGGTTATTTATGCGAGTAAGGTAGAGCACGTGCAGTTTTGGTGAAAATTTCGATCGGGGATCTGTGGAGAACGCAACAAATCGGTGCCTTGTTCGGTTCATAGCGGTATTCTGTAGTGAACCATTTCAATGGGCCGCTTGGCCGCGTTGCACACAAACTAACATCAAAAGGGGGTATTTCTTGCACGTACGCACACTGGTGAGATATAAATCCCCCGATTTGTGCAGCATATTTGAGCTCCATGATCTGGCCCCTCACTCTGTCCAACGTTGTCACTGCCTATTTGGGGTCACATGGGCTACTTCCCCGTGGACACTTTGTTTTTTTGTTATTATTTAAGAAAGCTTATGGGTTACCTCCCATTTAGTTGCATTTTGAACAGACAAAAAAAAAAAATAAAAAAGAAAAGAAAAAAATGAGCAAAATGGCATGCCCAGGAAAATACGAAGCAGTTTTCTTTGCCCATATTGGGGACAAAAGCACATTCGTACAATGCGGCTATGTATACACGCAGACGTGGCGCTGGCACAACGACAACGCACTGCTAAGCGCAACGTCATGCAGGTAACATGGAGCCTATTCTTAAATTAAAGCAGTTCAGTATGACAGTTGTGGGACAAATGATGTTGCCGTAGCGCAGCGATCTGCGTTCCATTTGGTCTGTTCTGTACCAACAAACATGCGCTTGCACAGATAGACATCTAATCGTTTCCGCGTAAACGTTACGGCGCCAGCTGATGACTAGTGGCATCCTCCATCATATTAAAAAAAATTATCACATGTTTGTCCTACTGTGGAGGTATGCGTGTCTCCACTGTTTGCACACAAACTGTGTGCGCCCTGGAGTCAGCCATTTAAATGTATCAAAACTGCCTGAACGTGTAATATTTTTTTTTTTTTTTTTTTTTCTTCGGTTTGGCTAGCCAACTAGCTTAATTTTCGGGTCGGCACCTTTTGTTTCCTCCAAACGATTGCGCTGGTACTGCTTTGCCAGCAAGTAGTAGAAATACTTGTTTTGAATCTTTTGCTTGTTGTAGGCCTGCATGGGGTGGTAAGCAATGGAATGAGATATTCGTGAAAACTGCTGGGTTTGTGCAAGCGGGTGTGAAGCTGGGGTGGTGGCTCTCAACCCAGCACATAAGTATATCTACACACGCATCCATGTAAATATGTATACACGAGTACACATATGCCTCTTTGCGATCTGCGCAGCGCGATAATCCAACTCACCTGAGTTATGTTCAAAATGTCTACATTGCTCAAATCCGTCATGTGCTTCATAAATAAAGGTATGAACACATTAAAGAAATTGGCATCGGTGAAGAACAAGTAGGACATTGATCTAAGTATGGAGGCTAGCGTTGAGAGGCTCATAAAATATACATTTTTGCACACATGCATGGAGAGAATTTGAAGCAGGGAGTAATTTTTCGCTTTGATAACGCGACGTGTGTCACTGTTTCCTTTTTCCTCCGAGTTGGTCGCATCGATACCCGTGGTCAGGTTTAACACGCTTTTATTGTCATTCAGCCAAGAATAGCTATTATATATGACATTCCTTATGGTGTGGTTAAATCTGTTCTTCTTAACAACTCTATGTTTTGTAAAATTCAACAGAAAATAAAAAAATGTGGACAATGTGTTGGGCTGACACAAGTTATTAATGTACAGATCCACCATTCGATGTGTCAGGCCGTAAATAAATGCCTCTTTGTAATTCCTATTCGTGTGCGATAAAAAAATTAAGACGCTTTTAATTTCGTCACTGTCAAAATTGTCAATTATGTACAGTTCATTATTTTTTATAGCATTCAGAATTTTATTTTCTATTTTTTTGAACGTGGCACAATTGTGGTGTGCCTTCAAAGACAGCAAAGAGTCTACTATGTGAAATATATGACCAATGTAATAATTTTCAACATACAGGACTTTTTTCCTGTACTGGTGAATACCTTCGTCATGCATTTCTGTGGATGCCTCCGCACCTGGCGTGAAGTCGACTTTGACGTTATCCATACATTCGCTCACCTGTTCAAACAGCTGAGCAATTTTCTTATGGCTGAATTGGAAGTGCAGATTTTCTGCTAAATATTGATTGTAGGCTGGAACCATTTGTTTATCCCCATTTTGCTTGTCTTCCAATTTAACGAATGGTTCGTTTTGTATATCCTTGTCTTTGTACTCATTGTAAAGAAATAGCTTGTGCCACTCTGACATGTGTGCACTGGTCCCTTGGTGTTCTTTCTCATTAGCATTATTACCGTTTACAAAAGTCAAATTGAAATTATTTTTCCGTTCAAAGCACTTGTCCCTGTTGGTTGTCTTCGCATCAACGAAGAAGGCGTAGAAATTCAACCCGTCGTTGTACAGGGGGTGCTTAAAGAGGGGGTAGTTTTGCCGATTCACGTTTTCAATTTCGAGCACGTCGGGGGGGTTCTCGTGTTGTCTTTGCATCGAGGAAGAATCGTCAGGGGGGCTGCCATCTTGACTACTAACTTGGCTGCTATCTGGGTGGCTATCTTGGCCTTTCACTTGGCTGCTAATTGGGATGCTGGCCGAACCTTCCTCGTCGCTCTGGAAGTTGTCCTCATACTTGGTCAAGCTCCGCAACAAATCTTCACAGAGGTAATTATTAAAGGTGATGTTTTCCTTTTTGTACAAGGCGTAGGTACGCGCCAGCAAACAGAGCTCAAACCGGTTGGCATTCTCGCGATACACATTTTTATTTATCTTCCTTGTCAGAAGGAGAAACAGTTCTGCGTCAACGAAGCTGAGCTTATGTAGGAAATGCAAAATGCGAAGCACAAGGTAATTGTTGAAGTGGTAGAAGTTTTCCAAGAAGATTTCTACTACGGGCACAACATAATCGCGCAGACTACTGTTGCCTGTTCTGTCTGTAGAGTCGGCTAGTAGGCTCAGGCATTCTAGGTAATGGTAGATGATCAGTGGGGGCACCTCGTTGCTTACGATATAGTCTTTCACCTGGTTGCACAATGTTACATTTTTCACATTTAACGAGGATAAGTAGTGGAACATCATCATGTAGTGGTTGATTGTGTTCTCGTTGAGACCGTCTTTCTCCCTTTCACTGCGCTCATCGCGATGACCACGATAACTGCTTTGTTCCTTTTTGCCACCCACCTCACTGAGCAGCACTTCCAGCGCGCCATTCACTCTCGTCACGAAGTCCAAGTCGAATATCTTTTCCGCGTAACACAAATACAGGGTGGCAAAAATGTCCGCAAAATTGAGCGGGGAGTCTTTTTTATATGCACTATTCTGGGTCCTCCCTTCCAAACGTTCACACACACTTTGTTTGTACTGATCAATTAATTTTTTTTTTTTTTTTTTTTCTGATTCTGAAGTTGATTTTTCGTGCAAAATTGCAAGCACTAACTTGGGCAGCTCCTCCCCTACCATTTCATTCTGTCCATTGTGGGTTACTAAATGGGAGAGTATTTCTTTTGACCCTCCATCGAACTCATGCAGGTTAGATGGTTTCTCTTCCACGGGATGGTCTATCGACTTGATGTCTTTCTTCCCGATTTCTTTCTTCCCCTTTTGCGTTTTTTTTTTATCAAAATTGTTGCCCCCTTTGGTCGAGGAGGAGAGTTGTTTCCTGGTCCAGGCGATTGGCCCTGTTCTGCTAAGCCAGTTGCACCTTGCAAGGTTGAGCGATGCGCGTGCGTGTGGCAGCAGCCTTCTTACTAACATTTGTGCCATCATATTTGCCATCATTTTTGCTGTCATTTTTGCCGTGGGGCAAGGGGTAGGACGATCACGTTTTTCGCCGCGCCCCTACACATGGGTGTATACTTGACTACTCCTTCTCGAGGATATGGTCTACCAAGTTGAACTGCACAGCTTCGGGGGCGCTAAAGTACCTGTCCCTCTCCAATATTTGTTCAATGTGACTCTTGTCCTTCCCCGTGTTGTTAGCAATAATATCAACGACCTTCCTCTTGGTATTCATAATTTCCTTATTCTGTATTTCAATGTTGGTGGCTTGGTTGAAGGGGATAACAGAGTAGGACTGCTTCAAACAGAAGGATGAGTTCTTAAGGGAAAAACGAAACCCTTTTTTCCCACTGCTAGCCAAAATGCAGGAAATGCCATACGCCTTCCCCAAGCAATATGTGTACACATCAGACGATATGTAATCTATGACATCAATGATAGATATCACATCTGTGATTCCATTCAGGTTTATAATTTTATTGTTTTCTAAATCACCTGTACTGTTAATGTATAAGTGGATTGGTTTTCTCTTCGACTCATACTCCAGGTAGAGCAGCTGTGAGATTATTTGTTCAGATATGTGGGGATACACTGGAGATGATAGAAATATGATTCTCTTGGAGAGTAACATCGACGGGATGCTGATCCCTTGTTGGTTATGTTCACCAGGTGAAAGGAGCAACGTGGTTTTGGACTTTTGTATATTTTTTAACCTGCTCACTGGTACGTTGCTTCTACTAGTTATGTAGCTGTACTTGCCCGTTGCCTCCCCTTTATGTGCACATAGGGGGGAAAGGGCAATCGCGACAAGCAGCAGCAGGTAGCTTTGCATTTTCGCGTTAGAAACGAGCCCTTTCTGTGTGTACCGCGGGCATGGTGAGCGGTTCGGTCAAGCGCGCATCTGCTCACAGTTTGTGCCTGTGGGATGGGAGGTGGGCAGTTTCTACCGAGTGTAATTCGTGCCAGTTGGCTACACTACCCCATGTCGCAGCGAGCTACTCACAATGGCATAACTGCCCCAAGTGTTCCCTAACGGAAAAGGTGCACCATAGAGTTGTCAACAAAGGAAACATTCCCCGCGCGCAGTTATGCGAAAAAAAAAAAAAAAATGTTAAAAAGGTTAAAAGGGTTTAAAAAAAAAAAGGAGAAAAAAAAACATGCATTGGATTGTCACCTGCGTGTATTCTCCCCCTATTGTGTAGCCACGCGAGCGATTCATCCATGCCGATTTGTGTAGCGACAAAAAAATTGCCAATTAGGTAGCGAAAAAGGGTGCAGGGCGTGGAACATATTTACACCTACGTAGTAGCTTTTTTGTTGAATACGCCATTTCGAATGAGGGCATTTCACGAGGCTTCAAAGGTCAAGCCCCTCCAAAATGTGCATAATGTGCGCACACAATGTTACAACGTAGAGGTGCGACACCTTCCACGGGGATAACCCCCACACCCGCATGAAACATAAGTGTCAACGTCGGGCGCACTAACCTACCGCTCAGGATGACGCAAAATTGGTTTCGATGTAAGACCTTATCGTGTTTGCTTCTACTTCCATTTCGTCGATGGACCTCAGGGCCGTGCTGAACAAAAAGAAAAAAAAAAATAATAAATAAAATAAGAATAAAATAAAATTCGCAAAAATGGGAGCACTCGCAATGGTGAACATGGTAAAGGTAGTTTACACGACGCGTGTGATGACTCCAAAAAAAAGAAAAAAAAGAAAAGGGAAACCCCCCACACGCTCTCTCCCCCTGGTGCCCTACTTGAATTCTTCCAACTTGAAGGTCTCCTCCACTGGTCCCTTCGCAGGTATCTTCACCACATTGTTGCATGCGGCACACACAACATCCCGTCCGTATCCCCAATTCAAACTGTTCATGTCTTTATATATGTTATCATTATTCTGGTAGTCGGAGCTTTTTCTCGGTATTATATGAATGTGTACCTGGTCCACAGTTTGCCCCGCATCCTTCCCATCCTGTATGGCTATGGAGAAATTGGTGGTATTGTGTAAGGCACCCATGACATGGCACATAAAATTTGACAATAAATTAATATCTATTATTTCTTCTATTTCCAGATCGTTATATTTTTCTCTCCTTTTTAATGTCGTTAGGAGGATGTGGCCTGGTAGGAGTGGCTTGTTGTTTACAAATCCATACGAATGCTCCGTCGTTATGAACACCTCCCGCTTATCAATTTCGAACATTCCAAATTGGTACTTTTCGCAGGTTCTATTTTTGTGCCATTTTAGTTTGGCCAGGATTTGTTTGTATTTCTCCATTGTGTGCAGGTGGTAATAAAGGAAAACCACACCCGTTTGCTACGCTTGGGGAGCCACGCCGTGCTCATTTTGTTCGGAGACGCAAAAAGCGCCTCAGAATGAGTGAAGCGGACCAAGGACGGAAAGCCAAGGGATGGAGACTTTACCAGTACAATCACATAATGGTTACAAATTACCTTTGTTGTTGTACCACATCGCATCACTGCACAGCCTCACCCACAATTGCGCACTACATGTCGTCGCAAAAAATTATGTTGCGCCTTTGTCACCCTTTGTGTGCTTTCCCGTTCTTGGCTGGGGAGCGCAATTACGTGTGCCGCAAAAAAGGATAAAAAAAAAAAAAAAAACAAACACGCGAACAATAAACCTCTTAACCTTTTCACTGTTGTGGCCACCTTTGCACATTTTTTACTTGCGACTTTTTTTTTTGGCGTTTAAGGCGCATTGGTTTGTGTTTAAGTTTCATGGTCATATCTCATGCGACAGGAGGCGAATGCGTGCAGAGCGTTACAGGTAGGAAAGTGTACAAATGTATATTGTTCATATGCATGTAAATCCACATTAAGACCGTGCCACGGGGAGCACCCCGTTTTGTTTTTTTTTTTGCGCACTCTCTCGTGACAACCACTGAATGAAGGATACTACTATGATCCAGTATTTCCATAACGACCCTTTCGAGCGTGCACACAGCCATGATCAGTTGTGCCTCCAATGATGTTTTTTTTATGAGCCTTTTAGTGTCTCTTCCCTTAGGCGTGTAAACTTTGGTACAAAAGAAGGATTATGCTAGTATTGTTGCATATCGGAAGTTGCACACTTATAAGCTCTGAGCAGGCCTATCCCACCTATGTGGTTGGCCAGCCCTCAATGCGAGGAGGAATGTCCGTGCAGCAATGCTTGCCCAGCAATGGTCCTTCATACGGTTATGTATGTACCCAATGCACGTATGGTCCTAAGCATGCACATACGCACGTGAACTCATTTAAGCATTTTTAAATACTTGGAAAAATTTCCTGTTGGATGTATTTCCCTAAGGAAAGGAAATATTTTCCATTTTTTTTTTTTTTTTTTTTTTTTTTTTTTTTGTACTTTTGCTGGGCAATTCCTTCGGAAGGGGAAAGGGCTACATATATGCGCTGTTTGTTTTTATTGCCCCAAATTATTTACTGCGTGGAGAATCTCCTTTCGCGAACGTACATTTTTGGTTTCGCGTTTAGTTTCCATCGACCTGTACCTTTGCCAGCATTTTTTAAGTCATTTTCGCGCTTACTAAAAAGGGATGTTATGTACATACATAAATACGGCTGGAATTAACTCACATATATATATGTATATGTGCAATTTTTTTTTTTTTTTTTTTCTCATTCTCCATGTTCCGCGCAGCCTGCTTTTTTCCCCAACTCATTTTTCTCCCCCCTCCGTTTGTATCGTTTCATTTGTTCATCACCCATCGTTCCATGTTCATAATTTGTACGTAATAATATTTTATTTATTTTTTTTTCTCATTAAAATAAACCCCCAAAGGGGAAATGCGTTTTGTATAAAAACAATAGCGCTCAGCATTAGTGTATCATGACATGCATTTCGCCTTTTTCGTGGAAAATTTGAAACATATTAAAGGAAAACACTTAGTTCACATTATCATCCCCCGTTCAACATTACATGGTGTGACAATGCTGAAGCGATGAAAACGCTACTGTGATTTTGCAATTCCAGAGCAAGCGCAAGCGCCGATGCCAATGTCGACGCAAGAAACCCATGCGCGAAAGCCAACTCCGAGTGCCGATACGAACGTCTACACCAGCGTCAGTGCAAATGCCAACGCGAGCTCCTGTGTCATGTGATGTGAACTGTTGCAAATGAAACATTGCCACAACCCCTACGTTCGTGCAGAACTGTCTTGAAATTTCTTCTGTTCCTATTCCTTTTTCAAACCAGTCGAGTATCAGCACGACAGAAAAAGGCAACATTCCACACACGGAATAAACAACCAAAGTGTGGAAGGAAGGGCACGAAGAGAGAGAAAACAAAAACAGAAAGGCCAAACACGGGCGTATAAAGCAGACACACAATAATAAATAAAATAAAAACGGGAAATATAGAAAATAGGACAGTCAACCATGAATTTATTCAAGCAGAAGGAAAAGGCTCCAAGTTCTATATCTCAAATTTTAATAAGTAATATTTAAAGACTTTCAACTGTGCCCTTCGTGTGAGTGTGTTGCACCAATGTCGGAGAGAGGGGCGCATACTGCGTTGAAGCATTCTCAGAAGTGGCACTGTCCGAGTTTGCTGCGCCTGGTATTCGTTTGTACCTGAATGGAGAATAGTTTTTTTTTTTTTTTTTGTGAACTAGCTATTTTGCGCATTTCACCTGAACGGGGAATATTTTTTTTTTTTTTGCCAACTAGCTATGTTGCATTTTTGTCACAAATGTGCATAATTTTTTTGTATGCCCCTGCTACACCGCTTTATCGCTTTATCGTTTTACCGCTTAACCCCTTCACCACTTCACTGTTCACCCACCCCCCGCAGATAAGCAAAAAGGAAAGTTCCCCGAACCACTGATTTCGATAAGACAACTGGAAGAGAAGGACATAAACGAAGTGAGGCAGTTGCTGCACGACCACTTCAACTCGCTAACACTGCCCGCAGTTATATACTGGTCCATACAACACATATATGATTTACTAGTGATAGTGGTGATAAATTATATCTTTTTCTTGGATTTAAAGAAAATATTTTATTTCTTGATTATATTTTTAATATATTTGTACATAAGGGCAAAACTGGAATTTTTAAATCATATAAGAAATGACTGCCGAGATTTGGAGAATTTGTACAAAAGCTACATAAACGTGGAGGGTTGCAATTTTTGGGTGGCCGAGGTGTTTGATAATAATTTTGGCTCGGCTAGTAGAACGACATGTAGTGATATACACGAAAGGGAAAAGATTTTACTGGAACAGGAGGAGCAAGAAAAGCAGCTATGCAATGAGCAGGGGGAACAAGACATAAAAAACTCCGATACAGAAAATAATAGCAAGTCCTTCAAAGATGGCTCATCTAAAAGTATACCGTTTGAAAGTGCTGAAGAATCGAATGAGCAAAAAATGTTAGAGAAAAGTAGCTTTAACAAAAGTGAAGACAGCAATGTAAATCAGAACCATTCCGAAACGGAAAAGAATATAACCACAAATGTGGATCATAATAATAAAGACGTTAGTCAAAGCAAAAATTTGGAGCAAAGTGGAACCAAAAAGAATATTGTCAATATGATGGACCTTGGGGAGGGCACATCAACTAATTACAACGATATTTATTACAAGGTGCATAGTAATTCGCCCAGCGGTGGGGAAAATACAAGCCCCAGTGGGGGTGCAGACGGGTTGAATAATGCGCAAGGGGCGGTGGACCCTTTGAATGATACTGGAGACGCAGGTAAGAATGATGGCACGTCGGAGGTTGGAGTCACGAATGGTACGGACGAAAAGGGAAAGGGAAAAAAAGGAAAAGGAAATAATAATAAAAATGGACAGCATGGTAAGAATAATCAAGATAGCAAATGTGACGATGAGGAGGACAAACAGAAGGAAAGCTTTACCAGTGGTGACCCCAATCATAACAGTCAAACGGTGGATCCAGCAGCCGATCTACAGAATAACTCTCCTGGCGGAGGTGAAGAAAAAACAAAACTCCTGTGTAACATAGGGGACATATCCAACAAGGAGCTTATTGAAAGTAGAAGGACAGTGCCATATCGGTTAAACGAAATTAGAAAAAATATATTCCGATCCAAAACCAATGATGATGACGATTCTACCACTCGTTTTGTGAACAGAAAAATTGTTGGCTGTGTAGGAATTGTTCCATTTAAGGGAGACAATTCTATAGCACAGCTTGTTAGGATGGTGGTCAAAAAAGACAACAGGAGAATGAGAATAGGAAGCAGGTTGCTAACCCAGTTGGAGAATTTTGCACATGAACAGAATTACCAAGAATTAAAAGTTTTTACAAATAACTTGAATACAGATAGTTTATACTTTGTTAAACAAAATGGCTTTAATTTATCTCAAATTGTTCGGAGGGGCCTGATGCGGGGAGACCTGCTCATCTGGTCCAAGATCCTGAACAAGGACGATTTTTACAAGTTCAATTCGTCAGGTACGAACCAGCACGTCACGTCGATGAATTTGGGGGAGTACTGATTTGGGTTGCATACCCTCATGTGGGTGCCGCCATGTAGGGGTGTGCATTTGCCCGAGCGGCCACATTTAGTGTTGCACAATTTGCTCTCCTGCACTGGGCGAAATGGCCTAACGAGTTGTTAACACCAGCTAGCCATTCCCCGCCCATGGCATATCAATTTTCCATTATTACCTCTCCACATTTCTCCTCCCCATTTTTTGTGCTTCAACGTTTATGCCGCCACATGACGATAATATCTCATTTTACCTCGTGTTGGTTCATAATATTTTTTTTTTGTTCGTTTGTTAATACGTTTAAGCCATTTCAGAAAGAAACAAAATGGACATTTGTAGTTTTATCCCTTTTTCTATCATTTTTTTTTTTTTTTTTTTTTTTTTTTTTTTTTTTTTTGCCCGTCATTTCTCCACTTGCACGCTTTGCAACTTGAATTTTGTTAATTCGATTCTGACTTTTAATCTGCATGTGAACAAGAATATTTTTGTCTTGCAGCGTTTTTTTTGTGGGCCTTTTCCCGTTTGCCTTCCTTTCGTGCCTGTGTGTGATCGGCGAATGGCTCTTGCGCTGCGTTTGCTTCCCCCTCTTATGCTACCCGTTTTTTATGAATAGCCCCATTGGCACGCCTCTCCCCACCACAATTGCACATAACGCACCGCGCGGCAAGTCTACATGTAAAACTTTCTTCGTCCTTTCCCCCCCTTTTACAGATGTAACGAGTTATATGAACAATATACTGGACTGAAAATGGTTTTTCAACGAGCTGCCTATCATTTTTTTAAGTGAGGTCTTGTGGGCATATGTTGACATATGTTAACGTACACCCCAAGGGGGGCACGCGTCCGATTAAGCATTGCAACACATTTGTTTATGACGTCACATTTTTTTTTTTTTTTTTTTTTTTTAAATGAAAATGTCTGAAATAGGTTTCTCTACCCTTTTGTACTTCCACGTGGTGTGCATTATCCCTCATCGTTAACCGTGGACCGACTCTTTTTTTTTTTTTTTTTACGCATACCCCATGTGGACAATTCGTGATTGTTGGGGGAAGCGCAAGGCCCAACTGTGGCCAGCCGCGCCTCTCTTGCGAAGTGGGCTTATATGTAAACAGAGAAAGCGAGCTAACTATCCTCGTGGGTCACCGCTCTGTTTTTTTTTTTTTACTCCCTGTTCATGTGCCAAATTGAGTTGTTCGCGAACCGTTGTTCGTTCCTCCATCGAAAGTTACTTCGAGTTGGGGGGAAAAAAAAAAAAATTATTAAATATAATGACTACGTACCCTTTCCTTCAAAATGGATGTACTACTGTGTAGGGGGCAACTAAATAATTTAACGGAAGAGAAGTGTGTGGGGGGGGGGAGACATAATTTTTTCTGAACAACATTTTCCTCATAAGGTAGTCTAACTCGATCCTTTTCAGTATGCGGAGGGCATGCACACGTGGGCAAACAGAACGTGTTGCACATTTTAACCACACCGACTCTTTGTCCATTTTGTGCTCGGTCAGTAGGACTGATGAGAAGTTGAACAGAGTACAAATCATAGCGGAATGCAGTTCAAAATAATGGCGTGCAGAGCTACACGACAACGTGAGGTTGCTCAAGTGGGACGATTTGAATAGGCACTCTCTCAAATGTGCACACACAGTTTCGCGTTATAATGCCTTTTTTATTGAGTCGCTTTTTGTGTGACTTCTTTTGAATGTACCTAAGTAACACCCCCTTTCCATGTCGATGGAGAAACTCCATTTGTGCATCTACGAGTGTGTGGATTGCGCGCTCATCGTTCCTTTTTTTTTTTTTTTTTTTTTTTTTTTTTTTTTTTTTT